CCTTCAGTATTAAGTTTAAATTGTCCGGATAATTCAGTAGAGACATATTCGTGAACACTTAGGGTCGCCTTACATCAGCGCGTCGAAGCATTGGTTCAGATGCTTACATACAGCCAAAAGACAAAAACCAAACAATGAATAAACACTTACAACCATAGGAGACAGAAGGCCCGGGGGAAACTGAATGGGTGCGTGACAGATCGGCTCATCCGCCACAACATTAGGAAGCGTTAGGGAGACGATGCTTGGGTGTCTGATCGTTGCCATGCGACCCTGAGTCGGTGCAGAGAAGATTGTGGAATGTTTCAAAGCTGATGATGTCAGTGGCCCTGGCGCACGAGGCGGCTTTGGGATCGAAGATGCTGGTGGAAGTACTTTTTTGGAGCGAATGAGATGTTTGGCACTATAAGCCAATGCGTAGGCATCTTCTGGCTGGGCGGTTATTCGAAAGGCTGTATTTTCGCTTTTATTGGTGGTGGCGGCAGCAGCGACGGTGGCGTTAACAATCGCAGGATTGGGACGTTTTTGAAGCTCAGCGAATAGGGTAGCTGGACCCGACTGAAATCTTTCTGGATGTTGCTGAACGCATGAACAGTGGTGAAAGTGATGAACGTGTATCTGACAAGCTGGTGGTACAAGGGAGCCATATGCCAACGCAGAGTTATATTCCTCAAAAGGTACCGCAGCAGTGGCGGGCGTTGTTTCGGCCGCTGAATTTGTCGTGTTCATCAGGAAATGGACCACATAGGTCTAAGACGGACTCTTTGATTTATTATGTATAAAATCGTCCTCAGGAGCTTCTCAACACAGGCACGTAGGAACACAATAGGTGACCAAAAAGCCTACAAAAAACATAGGGCTTATGAATAAAATCACAAATGGAATAAATCAATAAGGTAAAAGGCTTCAAATATATTGCTCAAGCGTCCATCACACGTGACAAAATATGATTTAATCTGGGCTAGTAAAAACAAGATCATAGCGTTTAATCCCTGAATTTCGAAATAAAATTTAGACGCTAAAAGCAACTGAGTTTCGACGACTTTCAGCTTTGACTGTTGCGGATGTACTACCATCTAAATTATAACTCGCATTCGAGAAGTCTATCAACCTAGAGGCAGTTAATAAATGATTAGAAGGAACCACAGCTTTCTATTTCAAAAAACGGCTATGACACGACAGTAGTAGTTGAGGTTTATTGCAAAAAGAGAAACTTTTTCGATGAAAAGAGGAAAACTTTCCTGAAGATATTCTAAGGCCTCAAAAGTGAAAAAGTTGGAATTTCGTATTTTTCAATATGAAACACAGCGAATAATGGCAAACAATAAGGGAACTACTTAAATGTTGACTAAATACGGAAAGGAAAGGCGCCGACAAGTGGTTTTTCAAAAAAAACTTTAGGAAACAATAAAATGCGCAGAGAAGATTCCAGCCAGACGACAGAGGGGTAAAATAGCAAGCAAAGTTATGGAGAAAAACACGTATACGTGGCAAATTTCCAATGCTGAGACAAATGCAAGTAAAGGCAATGGAAAAGCGCTAGACATGAAATACGTTAAACTTGACATGCACAGTTAAACCATTGTCACTGAAGTTAACACAAAAACACGAACTCTTTTTAGTTTTCTGCACGTAAAACTATACATGAACTCCAACAAGGCAGTATGCACGCGTATTATAAACATTTAAATATTTAAGCATTTGCTAATAATGCTAAATCTGCATATACACGCCAGATGCAGTGAAGTTCTTCGTTACAAGGTCGCACTTGACTGTAATTATATTACAACAACCTGCCGCATACTCAGCTGTGTAAGAGGTGGTTCACGGGTGCTTGCGTTCGCATGGGATTGTTAGAGTCATAAGGATGTTTAATATGATAGAGGACGTAAAATGGGGACAACGCAACTTATCACGATATACAAAACTTATGGGGCCTATAGAGGCCGTATGGACTTGGAAATAAAAAATCCCCTTCAAGAATCCTAATTAGGATTCTTGAAGGGGATTTTTTATTACGTTTAAACGAACTTAGAGACAATAATCACAGAACGAGGCGTAACGCAAGGATTAATATGTACAGACACCGTCTACCTGCATGAATTACCTTGATCTTTAAAGCAAAGATTAATACAATGACCAATAATTTAGAAAAACAACGGAAAATCAAGAAATTGCTATGATGAATAAAAAATTGGGCATACGAGTGTAGACCTAAAAACGAGGAAATTTCCCACGGGTGCGGGGTTTCTAAAACTACCCCAAGTGAAAGGACTTCACTTAGTGCGAAACAATAAGTTTGTAAGCAAGTAGGTTATTTGGGAAAAATAAGCAACTTTATTGGGTTAATTATCAAAGCTGGTTCCCCAAGACGTCATCAGACTTGAATAAATGTGCTA